GCGAGCCGAGGAGGGGGGGGGGGGGGGCGGGCGGGTGTTGGGTGCCGGGAGAGGAGGGGTTAAAGGAGTAAAGGAGCCCCCTCGGGCGTAAGCGAAGGGCTCGGGGGACTTTTCCCGAGCCAGCTCGAAATGCCCGAAACCCCCGGCTGTCCAATTCTTCCTTGCCCCCCTTCCACCACCCCACTCCCGACTAGGGAAGAGGGGGAAAAAGACGCTTGAACGAAGCTGGCGGTGCCTCACTGACACATTAACCATCCCCGCGAAGCAGCGGCTTTCGTTTCCTTTCTCAAGGGTGACCGAAACAGTTTTGTAAGAAGTGTACTGCCTTAGAAACCGAGCCCGGAGTAAGGAGCAGACGTTGTGTGCGTGGAGGAGGCACGGAGGGAGGGTTTGCCCCCAGCACGGGTCGGACCTTGGGGAAACCGTGAGCAGAAGCAGAGCCAGGTTCCCCGGGACAGCGGGTTCGTGAGGAGAGAGGCGTTCACAGGCGTTCAGTCCTTGTCTCCTCACAAGGACTCATTTACTCGCTCCACCTGAGAGAATGAACAGCTTCAGAAATGCCCTTGGTGTGTGTTTGATAAAGTGATTACATATTTGCCCCAAAGTTCATTTAACCGGAGGTCAGCGGCATTCGAGGCATGCTGCTGCGCCTTCTTCCTCTGTGCCGTCGCCTTCCCCCGAGCCACGGGCGCTTCCACCTCGCTGTGCCTGTAGCCCTTTCGGTACCACACATTTTTTCATGTGCGTCTTCTTGGTGCTTACTCTGAGGAGCAAAGGAGGTGCTGCTGCCGGTTAGGAGGTGCCGCTGAGGATCAGCCATGAGCAACCAACTATGGCATAAAGTTACAGAAAAAGTTTGAAGGGGAGGGAAGGTGAGAAAATGTCATCCGCAGTAGCGTATACTGAGAAACCGTTTGGTGGTGTCCACATGACAGTGAAAACTGCGAAGGAGTTAGTGCCCCGTGACGATTTAAGAAGCTGAGGGCAATTGCTTCTCCCCTCCCTGCGTGCCCCATGCTGCTCGCAGGACCAAACTGCATCTCGTCCTCCCTCACTGCAGCCGAAGCGCTTGCGAAGATACCCGTGACGTCTTAATACGAACTTCTCTCTGAGGTCTGAATTGAGGCTGTTGCGTCTAAATTCTGTCACTGCTTTGTTTACGCAGTTTAAGGGCTTCCTGGGGTGCAGGCCAGGCAGTGGCTGACCTTTGGGGTGATCTACTGAGTAATGTACATAGCGCTTGCAACAGCCTCCCTCCCTCTGTGTAGTGCCTGCAGTAACAGCACCTGAACACGCTCGGCTGTGTGAGTCCTAAAAAACCCTCAGCCTTCCTCCCGGTAGGAGGTAAGATGAAGCTGTTTCAGCGTGGACTTAGCACCCTCCTTCTCTCCACTCCTATCATCGTTGCAGCTATTTTCTTGCATTTCTTTGCTCCGTGAAGGCTGACGTGCCTCAGTGGTTGTTTCCGCGATTGAATTCGTAATTTCTAAACCGAGAGCGTACTTCAGGAGTCATCCCTATGTAGAGTTAAAATATTCTGACACTGAACTCAGTATTTTGTCCTGCCTTTCTCTTGCTATTTCAGTGGAGTAACCAAAATGAGACTTGGCCCCAGCATTGCCCCGGGAGGCGCTACTCCTTCAGCGGGGAACCTCTCTACATGAATGGCTTGTGTAAACAGGCAGTTTAAAACAATTCTCTGCGATTCTGTTTCCCACTTTGAAGCTCTTTCTTCAGCAGCACAGTCTAAAACAGTCCTTTTATTACTAAAGGAAAGAAAATCCAAAAGGTTTTTTTCCCTTTAAAATAAAGGAGGGAGAGCCTTGATTTTCCTTTCCTTCCAGACAATAGGAATTTGCCATTTCCTGACTTCTTAGAGAGTTATGTATTGCAAAAAGCAGCCTGCGCTGGGGCAGGGCAAGACCCCTGTGCAGCTCCTCTCTAGGCTCTTTCTCCAATTAACAGAGCAATGCCAGCATGTGTTTCCAGGGGCAAAATGTAACATCTGTGTTTTCAGGGAGATTCTGAGACTTGCTTGTGACTTCCAGACCAGGAAAGCCGAATTTGCAAAGGCATGGCAAGGTGCAAAGCATGAGAGGCATATTTCACGGTGCAACAGCGCTGTGGGTATTGCTCAATGCGTTGTGCGTTCCTGGAAAGGGTCTTACGGTTGACTATTTCTTAGAGGTTATCAGCAGTGAAGATGCGGTCAGTATGGCTCAATATACCCAACATCAGAGTGCTGGAGGCCGTCTGTTATACAGTGTCCTTCCTAAAATTGCCTGCTCAGTGAAATGAGGCATTTCCCAGCTCAGCACTAAACTGTGGTCTCTCCTGCATTCCTCTGGGGGGAGGAGGGGGGTGGAAAATCCCTCCCCGGCCCTCTGCACCGTGTGTGGGTGGCAGGGCTGGCACTGGGGTGGGTGACGGGAAGTGGACGGTCTGCGAAGAGGAGAAGGGATGGGGTGACGCTTCATTTTAACACTTGCTGCACTGATATCGGCTGTGAGCTGGTAAAAATGGAAATTATTTGGTGAAGGGTCGGGGTGGCCTAGCTGCAGTAGCTGTCCTGGTGTGGGGTGGTGCAGCTGTAAAGCCCGGTGGGAGAGGTCCTACTCTAACAAATTTAATAGGCGTCCTGGGTTGTTCTGTCCTCTCATTTTCTACCTGAAGGGCATCAGTCTGTTGCAGTCCAGCTACTAAGCTAAAGTTGTGCATATCAGCTCCTTCGTACAGGTCTGATGTGTGGGATTGGCCAGGGTGCCTTGAAAGCAGGTAGGATTTGATAAATGGAAGGGAAATAAGGCAACAGGCAACACTGTTATAGGAGGAGCTGTAAGGCACAAGGTTCAAGAGGAGAAGGAGGTGATGGTGAGGAAGGACTTGAGCCCTAAGAAATCCTGCTTTCTCCTTATCTGCAGGGATGGACCTCTTCTGCCTGCAGGGTTTAATTTCCTGTGAGCTTTCCATCACAGCTTGGGCGTGGGTGCAGGGGAGCAAAGCAGTCAGGGAGCAGGGCCAGGGGAAGCGCTAGCATTGGGCTTGTCGGCCCTGGATGGCTTCTCAGGTGTTCAGCACATCAAGACTGAGCTTCTTGCCAGCGTTCAGAAGCGCAAAGAATCTCCCTACGTGAGAGACAGAACAGCCTCCTTGTACAGTGTATATTTGCAGGCGTGGAAGGCAGCTAAAATTGTCATGACAGCTATTGTTTGTACATATAATTTCCCTGTGGTTCTGTTAAATTGGGTCTTCTTAAATAAGCACTTTGGAAAATCAAGCAGCCCCTCTTGTGCTGTGTGAGGCACATTACATTCAAGTGACTCTCAAGACACAAAAGGTGTTTGTTTTTATCGAAGCATCCTAGATGAGAGCAGTCCCTTGGCATGCTCTGTAACCGAGCCGGTTGTACTTCACTTGTATTCTCAATGAAAAACTGAAGTAGTCTGCACTCATGTCACACCGGACCTCTCTGCACGATGCCGGTTTTGGATGTGGAGAAAAAAAAAAACCACATTAGTGTATTTTTTGCTAGCTAGCTGCATGATATTTTTTTAGATTGCATCACTTCCTAACTTGTTAAGAGCGTGCAGATGAGCTTCTGATGATGATGGTGGCAGGTACGCAGTGGGAGAAGGAACATCTTCTTAAGTGTTGCTAGTTTCTTACTGGTTTTAAGTGATTCTCAGTTAAGCTAACACACTTGCAAGGTAGGGGTTACAGCTCCCTTGAGAAGTGGTTCTCGCAGCCTCTCTGGGTTTGCAGAAGTTTCCCACAGAGAGGCAGCCCCCTGTGTAGTGAATTTTAGCATATGGACAGTAGACTATGGTCATCTTCTGTAGCCTTCTTGGGAGTAATCCACAGCTTTAAAGCAATGTAAGAGTAAGCATGGCGCAGTCTGTACTGTAGTAACATGTATTATTTCCAAGCAGTATTTCTGTAAGAATTGTAAGAATTCTCCCCTTCCTACCCTTTTAAAATTTTCTTTGGACGAAGCAAAGCAATTCTGCCTGTGTGAATTACATGTTGAAATAGTGCAAAATAGGCATGGGCTACTTGTTGGCTGTATTTTTCTATCTTATCTGTGTTTTTGTGTTTCTTTCAGTAAAGTAGTGGCACAGGAGATTTCTGGGGGTTAACAAAATACAGTATTTATCCAAGAAAGTGTTGCAAGTTGTAGGGGAAAAACGAGGCACAGGGCACTTAATAAGTGCCTACGTGATGTAACTACTTACTACAGTCAGGGCTATAAATCTCAGTGACTGTGAATTGTATGCGTAGTTATTCCTTACACTTCCAGTAAACCTATGGAGAAAACAGTCTATCTTTTTTTTTCTTTTTTCTTTTTTTTTTTTTCAATTTTTTTGCATTTTTTTGCAAATACACAGTTAGGGAAATGCTTTGGATTTAGGGGCTATACTGCATTTCATAGCCTGTGTACCTGCCCTTGGCACACATCAGTTTGAAAGTGAAATTGAAAGGGAAAGGAGCATCTTATTCTCAAGAAGACCAG